GATCTTTGCCTCTTTTCATTCTGCAGGTCTCATGGCTACATATCATGCAAAGAACGAGTACTGTCTTCTTACAGACATGTGCCAAGGCTTTGATGTCTTCGTTAAGATCATTTCTCAACTTGAACAAGACTAAAGTCAAAGAAGATAAATAAAAGCTTTCACATAGCTTCTCTGCTCTTATTAACTAATGGTTCTATACATTTTACTTTGCTTCTATCTATTTGTACAAGTCAATGGTTGCTCAATACATAAGACGGTTTACAAAATTCAAACACAGTAATTCATATATAAGTGCTATTTATCTATCTTGAGTTGTTGTCACCTTCAGTTTCAAGCTTCTGAACACGTAACCGGAGTCTCTGTTGGTGATGGTGTAGTTTCCAGAGACCGTTTCCGAGTACAACAGCAGAGTATATACCATGTGTGATGATAGGTGCAAGAAGATTGTTTGTCTGCAATAAAATTCAGTTTAAGTTTCAACGAATTCTACTTTGAGAAGTCGAAACAGAAATCCGTGGAGGGAAGAAGTAAAAAACCTGAATCCATTCAAAGCCGAGGTATAGACCCAGAAGCCCTTCGAGAAGAGGAGAGTAGATTTTCTTCATTTGTCTTCGCTCGTACCACGCTGCGAAAAGGAACATAGAGAATCCTTTTTTAAGTGTTTGATTGTGATACATATCTAAAGCCTTATGCTTTACTGATTTTACAAACCTGCAAACAACTTCTTCAGCTCGTCACGGGCAGAGCGAGTTTTCAAGACCGGTGCCATTATATAAGTAGGATCTAAGAGAAATAACAAAACAAAATTAGTAAAGAGGTTAAAGGTTTTGTAACATGTATTACGATTTGAAGAGTAGATTGGAAACCTTTAGGGGAAGCAGCAATGTAATAGAGAGAACCAGTGAGAGCAGCTGTAATAGTGGCAGCAAATACTTGAGCAAACGGTACAAATGGAGGCAAGAGTCCGGTCTGAAAATTCAAACAATTCGAAGTCAATATGATTATACGAGTCTGGAACTACAACAGAGACGAGCAAGAACAGAATTTATATAATACCAAAGCGACCATTCCCCGTGAATCTGAGATAAGATTCGTGCCTCTTAGGAATATATCAGCTAGTGCACCCTGTAAAAACAATAAAGCTTCACAAACCGCGAAAAACAGAAACCGGAAAGACAAGAATGATTGGAGATTAATATAGGGCACACACAAACCTGAAATGCAGCGCGATAGAAGAGCTCTTCACCAATTGAACTTGCAGTTACTACTAAGATAAACTAAACAAAGACAAAGGTTCAACATTTAGTACCAAAGATTCAGAAAAACTCCAATTTTTTGAAGTTACAAAGACTCTGTTTTCGGATTTCCTTTACCTGCCAAGCTGACATTCCATAGAAGAACCCTCGAAGCTCCTCATCTTCGACATCTCTAATCGCACGAGCGTGTGGCGACAATTTCACAACTTCATCCTAAAAACCAAACAATCAGTGACAAAAAAACCAAAGCTTCATCACCATTAAAGAGAGCTTCCAACTATTAAGCTTACATCAAGAATGAAGAGAAGAGCCATAATTGGAGGAGATGCGTAACCAAGTCCAGATATAATTGCATCTAAAGAAGCATTAAAACCTCCTGTGTAATCAATTCCTGCTACTTCACATATAAATCTCCCTGCTACTGCCATTCCACAGTATATTCCTGCTTATTCAATCAATCACACACAAAACTCAAAACTTCGAAATCAAGAAACTTTGATTTTTGATTCTTCAAAATTGTTCAAAATCACTCACCGATTCCATAACTTAACCTAACAATAGCACCGATTTTATCCCAAGCACTGTAATCTCCGCCGCTTCCACCGACAAATTCACCCACTGATGTAACCTCACCGGAAGGTCCAGCTAAACCACCGTTACCACCGACGAATTCTCCACTATTGAAACCTCCGACCACCGGATTTACATCTACAGATAAACCTCTCGCCGATGCATCTCCGTCGTCGATCACATCGCCGCTACTGGTTTGTCCGGCGGATGAAGACGACGATGCTTTAACAGATCTCGATTTCTCTAACGAAATACCATTTAACCGTCGAATGTTTCTCTTCCCGGGACGTTTCGCCGGAGATTCGAAAAGCCTAGAACTACAATTACTACTACTAAATCCACCGTTTCCACTACTCCAAGACGAAGAAGAGAAAGCGACTCTAGTTGAACTACAAGACAACAAAGGAAGACCCATCTATTTAAATCGTGACAAGCTCTCAGGCGAAGTTATCGGAATATCGCCGGTAATCTCGCCGGAGAGACTCTGTTCTTCATTTAGTGAGAGAGAGAGAGATTGAAAAAACGGTGACCGTGCGTTTTTTCTCACTATTTATTTACTTTTTTTTCTGTTAATTAAATTTATTGACATGTAATACACATGGAGGAGTTTAGACCGTTGGATAATAGAGATAGATTTTGATCTGACGGTTACAAAGAGATTATTAATTGAGACCACTTAATAAATTGAGAAAGAGTATTTGGACTTGACTTCTTCGAACTTCGATCCACTGATTTTGATTTGTACCTTTTGCCGTATTGTATTATTCATGTCTACACGTTACCTAATATGGGCCGTAAGTTTTGTTAATGGGCCTTAGTCCTAGTTAAAAAAACACTTTAAAACATTTACACAAAACCTCCTAAAATGCTAAATAGTATAGAATTAAATTTATGAAACAATTATTATTATTTTTTTTTTTTCTAAACATGAAACAAAATAGTTATCCACGTTTTAATTAGAGTTGTCAAAATGAGAAACAATTGCGCTCGTATCATATTATATAGCGGTCTTCAAATTTTAAATAAGTTATAATTTAAATGAGTTCGAGCTATGTTTTAGTTCTTGAACTGTTCTCATTGATTTTTAATAAGTTCGTTCTATGGTTTCTTATAATCCTGTTACCCGATTTCATTCAGTTGAACTGATGGTTACATAAACTAAATCAGATGAGTCGAGATTTAGTTCGTAAAATATTTTTTTGAGGAATAATATATGTAGCGCATTTTATTGCGTGTT